TTCTTCTTTGTACTTGTGTAATAATTCGGCAACGCAAACGTCAAGGTTTTTTTTTTCAAAAATCATGAAGATCTAAATCGAAACATTTTTTCAGAAAGTTCTATTAGTCTAGCGTCCAGACTATACCAATAATTGAGATTTTCTTATCTTTCATCTATTGACTTATGCAGCGAGTACTATATCATTATGGCATCTTTTTCTTCTACTCCTCGGATTACGTTTATGTTATCGGTTCTATTTATTGTAATCGCTATTCCCTTTCTGTCTCCATTTTTATATAATAGTTTATGTGATATGGATATGATTGAAGTGATGAACTAGTGTGGATGATGTTCACAACTAGAGTGACGATAATACTATGCTTCCAATTTATTATTGAATATTTCAAATAAACGAAAAGCGTCATTTAAACTTCATAATGAAAATCCGAAACTTTCATGAATCTGTTCTCATTCATCTACTTTATTTTTATACAAATTTTCAAAAAAGTCTCGTTCACGAATGTTTTAAATACGAGTATCTATTTGGATGATAATCATATGTTTAAAAATTAATATTTTAACTTTATTCTATTGACTTATCATATTTGATTTTCAGATATGAATCTATCAAAAAATTTTGAAAATAATAATATTAATCTACAAATGGATGTTCAAAATCTCGTTGGTAGTAGTGGAGATACAAATAATAATATTTCAAATCAACAACATTCTACTAAATTATCTTATGAAGGAAATTATCAAGTTAATATATCATCAACTAATTTTGAACTTGAAACAATAACATCATCATATACAGGTCTTATGCGTATTTATCGTTTATTATATATAGCTGATCATTGTTTATCATTACGTACTGAAGCACTTTTAATAAGTCTTAAATATATTCAAGAAACACATTTTATTTCACTTTATAAACAAGTAAATAATGAGTTTATTTATTTTGTTTGTTTGTTTTTTTGTGTATGTTTATTTTCATAAAATAGATAGTTGATGAATTAAAAAAACAAAATATACCATTACCAAATGATTTTGATTCAACATGGTATGAAAAAACTCAACGTAATTATACAAATAAATTAGAAAAACTTGATAATGATTTACGAAATTTTCGTACAAATTCAATAAAAGATTCAATACGTCGTGGTCATGATGATCTTGGTGATCATTATTTAGATGCCGGTGATTTTTTTAATGCTGTACGTTGTTATGTACGTTCAAGAGATTATTGTGTTACACCAAGACATATGATAACAATGTGTATGAATGTTATAAAAGCATCATTTTATATGCAAAATTGGTCAAATGTTTTATCTTATGTTAGTAAAGCTGAACAAGCTATTGAAAGTCTTGAAACAACAACAAAATCAACAACAACACCATCAACTATATCATCAATGATTAATCCAATGGATGTAACAACAACAAATAATATAATTACATCTGATGCAATTTTAGCTTCACGTTTAAAAGTTTATGCTGGTATTGCAGAATTAGCAACAAAAAGATATAAATTAGCTGCACGACATTTTCTTGGTGTTTCATTTGATCATTGTTCAAATTATTTTCAGGTAGAATTTGATATGAAAGTGATTGATTTTTTTTTTCAGAGTTTTTTAATAAATAGAAAAACAAAACATAAGAAACAGTAAATTTTGATTCAGTGTAAGTTTGTATTCTTGGATCACGAAAAAAAAACGATACGGTCCGTAGTGATCATTGATATCAGTTTAACCGTGTAATTGCTCAAGTAGTATTTTATTCGAGAGAAGAATTTGAACGTTGAGTTGTCGCTTTTCTGAGAATCATCTTTGAAAGATTTTATTTTATGATGTCTATTTCAATTCAATATTTCTTCTTTCATACAGTAGTTTGTTTGTTTTAATAGTATTCATATAACAGAACTGATTTAAAGAAAAATGCAGATCACATTACAACCAGAGTAACAAGGAAGTTAGTCTACGAGTGATTCTTTACTTTTGAACATAGTGAAAGAACTTTTAAATCAGAATAATTCTAACAGGAGTCATACTTCTAAGTGCTGGTTTAATCAAAGAAGATTAAGTCCTTCCTACCAGCCAAGAGTCTCATCATCTGACCTCTACTCGTTCAAAATTCTAGTTACGCCACTCTCGATGGGTCCTCTTTACAGAGTTATGACAGTGCTACTGGATTTTTACCATAGGATGCGATATTGACAGGAACATTGAATAAGAGATGTAGGTCTCATGATTCTACAAATATCTGAAAAGTTGCAATGAAAATGTTTAACATTATTCTAATTTCTCTCTACATGAACACACGAAAATGTGAGAATAAAACATCAATGATCAAAATTTCAGTATATTCTTTTGAGTAATAATAGATACTGACATAACATAATCTACGAAGAGATTTGTCTTCCACTCTAATAATTCTATATCGAAGGATTTGTTTCTGGTTTAACATTTGACGACCCAAACTAAACAAAAACATATAGTTAAGTTTTCTACCCCCATGACTGAGTGGTTACGTTGTTCTACACTTCGTATCCACAACATAGCATGTGCAAGGCTCAGTATCTCAGCTATGGAATGATCCTGGGCAAGTCACTAACAGTTATTTGTCTCGAATCAGGAAAATTCTGTAAAAAAAAAAAGCAGGATGTTGAAAATAAGAATACGTTGATTATGTCCGGCAGCCGACTGGTATCAGAAAAACTTCACTATTGAATCTGGACATCGAATTCCTAAATCAAATTTCCTGGTCTCTTTCAGAGTTTTTCGGCCATATATCAGTCAACTGAATAAACACTAAATCTATGATAACATACAAATTTAATTTATTATTATTTTAGGATCTTATTTCACCTCAAACTCTTATTCAATATGTTTGTCTATGCAGTTTAGCAACATTTGAACGATTCGAATTACATCGTTTAATTTTAATGTCACCAAATATGAAACAATATCTCGAATTAGAACCTTCAATACGTGATATTCTTCATAAATTTTATGAAACATCTTATTCATCATGTATTGCATTAATGTCTCAATATGAACCTATATTTGCATTAGATCAATATTTAGCACCACATTTATGTACATTATATTATGAAATACGTCATCGAATAATAATAACATATTTTTTACCATATAAAAATGCATGTATGAAAACAATGGCACATCAATTAAATACAACAATAGATTTACTTGAAGATGAACTTGTTCATTTAATTCGTTCAGGAAAAATAAAAGCACGTATTGATTCAAAAAATAAAATTTTATATGTTGCTGATACAGATCAACGTTGGTATGCATATCAACATGCATTAACAATAACAAAACAATCAGAAAAAATAACTCGTGCTCTTTTACTTCGTTCAGCTATAATTAAAGCAAATTTGTCTGTTAAAGATGATTCAATTCCACAATCAAATCGTTCATTGAACAATAATAATAATAATAATAATAATATAAATATTTCACGTCGACAATTTGTTCCTAATATGATGGGAAATATGATGATGGATGAAGAAGATTTATCCGATGATGGTACAATGAATTAATTCAAAAATTTAATGTAAACAAACATTTTTCATTCAAGAATAGAACTCTTGACGTTTATACTGTGATTTATTCTAGACGATTCTTGTTTCGTATTTAAAATGAAGAAAAATCAAATAAATAAACATTTCTTCTCTATTTAAAATATATAGAATTATAATAAAATCTAAGTATAGTTATGATGAATTACAAAGACTAAAAATCATCCCGCTTTCTAAGTCACAATATGTCCGATAGAGTCGGAAATGTTTTTTTCACAGATACTAAACACTGTTTGAAATGTCTACTTTTTATCTCCTCCCATTCGAATAAAAAGATCAAAATATTGAGTGTATCTTCAAAAATCAATGGTGCAATATGTTTCAAAACAAAAAAGAAACTAGGACATATTCTGTACCTGTAGAAAAACGTTTCAGCTCGATTGAATATATTATGTAGAGAGAGATGAGGACGATTTTGCATTTTTTCGTATAAATTATCATAAGGAATATTTTATATGCAAAGAATAATTGTAATGCGAGTTTTTCTTCTAGGGATTTCGAGAGTTGTGTTTAATAAAAGTACTAACTAACAACGGCAAGCCTTCATTTGTATGATATTTGACAGAGAACATTTTGACAAACTTCTTATAACTATTTGAAAACTACTTTAGATTGATATCTGTATCTTATTGAGTTCTATTAGAGAGTTGAAAACGTTACATCTCTTGAAATGCTTTGATAATCTTTAATATCTTTTCAAGTCTAATGAAGTCTATTGAGATATATTGTAATTCTATACAATTACACATAAGAAAGGAATTCTACGTCAATCAGAATTAGCCAGAAGGAAAAACAGCAGGGACTTTGGTCTTGAAGTCTTATGAAATCTTAAGAAGCCTATTGAACTCTTAGAGTTATATCTGCTGTTTCGCCTCGAATTAACTCAAGAGAAAGTATTCAAATAAATCTAACGATTTTACAGAATTCTACTTTACTATCTTAAACAAGGACATCTTCATTATCAGTGTTGAAATTATGATAAATATCAATGAATTCAAGAGAACCTAGCGAAATAAGAAAAAGAATAAAATTCTGTTGAATTATCAGATTTGGTTGATTCGTCTGTAGTTATTAATTTCCAAAACAATCTCGACAATGAAGGCAAATATGTTCTTCCTTGAAACAGTCAAATGGAACTTTGAAAATGTAAAAGGATTCTATCCTTGTTCTTCGTTTGTTTGAATTGCTTCCATCTATGATTACACTGAGTTATAGATTTATGTGAAATTTTATGCAACTTTCTTCATTTTTTGACTAATGACGGTGGGTATTACAGAAGAACGGAAGAAAAGACGGATTATTCATTATTATTTACTAAACTGTTTTAATAATTTATGCAAATTATTTCCGTATTAATGCAATGAATAAATACATGCTGTAAGAAACAGAAAAATCAGTATTTCATAATAATTCTAATGAAATTTTCTGTAGTCATCTGTTTTCTTCTAATTACTTGTTGTACAAGTAATCCAACAACGACTCCCAATAGACTTCGTTCAAGAAATTATGCTGGTTGTGATGCTCTTATCGATAGTTGTGGTCCGAATGGTGCCTGCTGTGATATACATGATGATTGTTACGCAAAAAATAAATGTACACGTCTTAGTTGGATTATTCCATGTTAGTTGACTTTCTTTCTTTTCATTAAAAAATTTTTATTTCCACATATATTTTTATTTAGCATCGACAGCTTGTATAAAATGTAATACCGATGTGGTTAAGTGTATTGCAACTAAAGATCCGGGTCCAAGTCGCTGTTGTCAGAATGGTGGTAAATGCTGTGGATCCCGTGATGAAAATTGTCTAAAATCAAGCTAAACATACTTGAATTTTATAGTAAAATTAATACTATATAATTATTCATCAATAAAATAATATGAAGCATGTTAAATAAATCATTTTCAATTAAAACTTCTCTTATTTATTGACTTTATGTCAAATTATTTGAATTTCATTCATTTGTCTCTGACAAAAATAAAAGTGATTACCTATAAAAAAAATTTTATATATGTTAAGAAATGCATATTTCGTATAGGACGTATACATATGCGCTTATAAATTCACGTAATCGTACGCTTGAAAATCCATGTGATTCAAACGAGACAAAAGCCTTCTGTAGACTGTTCGATTTAATGTGTGCTATACCAACGGTAGTTTGATACTTAAATAGTTGGCTATCCTCTAATGACCATTCTATTATGGTATACCAATAGTTGTTCTCTGACGAGAAATCTACTATCTGTATACCGTTGGTTCTTATGAGTAGCGCGAACAAACTTATGAAATGAGACGTTTTAATTTTTATGAGTCATATTCGGTTTTTGTATGTTTGATCGATGATCGGAAGTTATTACAGTTAGTATATTAAACTCTATGAGACAATATTTATTATATTTTACATTTACATTTTTTCCT